GCTTGATGAGCAGTACGTAGGTCTGTGCCCAGAATCCGAACCTGTGAACCCCAGGCTGCCAAAGCAGAGCACGCGAACTTAACCACTACGCCATGGGGCCAGCCCTGTATATGTTACTTTTTTTTAAATTTATTTTTTAAAGCAGTTTTAGGTTCACAGCAAAATTGAGCAGAGAGTATAGAGAATTCCCACATACTCCCTGTCCCACACATGCACAACCTCCCCACTCTATACATCCTACACCACAGAGGTACATTTGATGAATCTACATGACACACCACTAACATCCAAGGTCCACATTAAAGATCACTCTTGGTGGTGTTCATTCTATTTCGTTGTTAGTGCCATGGAGTCGATTCCGACTCCTAGCACCCTGTGCACAGCAGAGTGGAACCCTGCCCGGGCTTTCTGCACCATCTTCTCACCTTCTGGCCTATATCAGACAATGCTCTAGTGCTATTCATAGGGTTTTCATGGCCAATTTTTTTGGAAGTGCGTAGTCAGGTCCTTCTTCCTAGTCTGTCTTAGTCTGGAAGCTCCACTGAAGCCTGTCCACCATGGGTGACCCTGCTGGTATTTGAGATACCGGTGGCACAGCTTTCAGTAACACAGCCACACACAGCTGCCACAATATGACAACTGACAGACGGGTGGTGTGGTTCCCCGACCGGGAAATGAACATGAGCCTCAGCGGTGACAGCACCAAATCTTAACCACTAGACTACCAGGGCTGACTTATTGTCTGGATGTACCACCGTTTATTTATCAATTCATCTATTGAAGGACAACATATTGCTTCCAGGTTTTGGCAATTATGAATAAGGCTGCTACAGACATCCCTGTGCAGGTTTTTGTGTGGACATAACTCTCAATTCATTTGGGTAAATACCAGGGAGTATGATTACTGGATTATACGATAAGCCTTATTTTTTTTAATAATCTCCCAACATAGGTGGCTTGCCTGAAACTCTCAACACCAGCAAAGCTCCTTTAACTGTTAGGCATTTTTTAATCTGGGTGTAGTAACATATTAACTAGCTGATACAGAAGCAGGAAGCAGTGTATCTGATTAGCCCTCAATTACCCGTAAGAAGCAGAGCCTGGAGAAAGAGGCACCTAGGAGGAGGAGGTGAGCACTGGGCCCAAGACTCCAGGGATGGGCTCCAAAGGCAAATCCTTGCCAGCCAGTCCCTTCATGACCCCAGATGGAAGATACCAAAAGTCCTCTTGCAGCTGCAACCATGCCTATACAAGCAAAAATTGGGCAGACAGCGTCAGCCCTGAAGACATCAGTTGTAACCATGAGTAGCCGACCACTGGTACCTCCCTCTTCCCCGCCTTTGTCTATAAAAGGAAGGCACAATCAGGTTTCATCACACGTGGCAGGGGCCTCACTGTACCCTCAAAGTCCTTTTTGCCTTTCTTCCCCAAAAGAAAATGAAAAGCACAGTCGATCAATTGAGCCCATGGGAAAGTGCGTGGAGCCCATCCTCCAAGCTAGATGTTGCTAAGACAAAAGCAGTCCAATTGTTTTGCTCAAGGGAGTGAGCATTTCAATAACAACAACTCCTGCAAAAGGGCTAAGGAGGAGGGGTTGGCCCAGTGGCATAGCGGTTAGGTTCACGCTTTCCACTTCGGCGGCCCGGGGTTCTCCAGTTCGGATCCTGTGCATGGACATCCTCATCACTTATCAAGCCATGCTAGGGCGGCATCCCATATAAAAGAGCTACAGCTGTACAACTATGATACACAACTATGTACTGGGGCTTTGGGGAGAAAAAAGAAAAAAGAGGAAGATTGGCAACAG